CATGCTACATTGTGATCAAAGATAAAAATGGATTTGTGAGATTTACAGTGTAAAACATCCAAAAAAAATACACGTAGCACATATCACGCCCTGAGGTCAACAAGCAATATACAATGCTCTGAGTGAATCCCACTRACATTCGTTTTTGCATTGCTTTAGTAGCAGTTTAATCAAAGCATTAAATTATAGAGTACAAATATTAAATGTGTGCAATACTTTCCACTATTTACTAGACAAAGTAGTCTTAATTAAACAATAGMAAACAATAGAATTAGCATTAGTATTTAGTGGTATTTATGTTGCACTATTTTGACACTGGACCTTGGAGGGATTTAACATGCATTTTAGTCTAGTTGAGACTAACCTAACTTAACCTAAAGGACGTATGGAATTTTAATTAAAATTAACAATTAARATTGTTATTCTCTATATTTTTCAGAGGAAACACTTTTTTAGTTCCATCATACATTTGTAAAGTATGCGTTTGAGTGTTCGTGCTTGCTATTCTTGCTCCTTTGATAAGATTTTCAAGAGACGTCTGTCAATTAAACCASCAGTAGTACGCTTTATATTAAACGMTTCATCTACTTACAGATTTCACAGCTCCTATCAGACGACTTGTTTAGCCCAGAGGTTGAAGGAACGCAACGGACGCCATCTTGGCAAGGACTAAGAGAACATGCCCACGGTGATTGCTGAGTATTATAAAGGTCTAGATAAGTATTGTGGCGCATGGCTATTGTAGAATGAAGAATTAACGGTATGGAGAAGAGACARGAAAAAGGAACAACAATAGATCAAGTAATAGCTGAGGATAAAATGAAGAATATGCATCACGATAAGAAAGGGGAAAAAAGAACGTATGGCGGACAGAAAAAAACAGAACGTTTTGSCTACAAATTCATAGCAAAGCACCTTGTAACAGTTGAACTTATCACCATCGGTCATGTGCACGCTCTAATTGCATCGTTTTAAATTCGGAGTGTCTAAACGTCAGGCAGCCTGACGTTTAGTCCCAGGACTAAACGTCAGGCAGTCGAATTTTTTCTTTAAAAATCGTCGGAACAACCGTAATTTCAATTAATACAACTAAACAGGGGAAATGCAATAAAGACCGAAATAATACTGTTCGACAAGTTTCAAACACAAGCACGGCATTTTAAGATTTTTCGACTGCCTGACGCTTAGTCCCAGAACTAAACGTCAGGCAGTCAAATGTTTGAAAAATACAGACATACCAGAGTTGTGGAAGTGAAATTTTCTAACCCTTTCTGYAYCAGACCGTCCCCCTTCAAMCATTACCACAACAATTTATCATTGTCCCAGCAGCCTATAATTAGACGATTGTTTCTTCATTTTGAAGGGATAATTATTAGGATATTTAATAGGCAGTTAATGATAAAAATAATTGGTTCACAGAATAAACAGATAAAAAAGTGTTTTATTTGGTTCAATAGCCACAACAACAAAGACAAACAAAGTATATCAAATGTATAAAGTGAACAATAGATGCATTAAATGTCCTTATCAACTGCATATCAAATATCATAATCCTTATCCCTTCAAAATGAAAGAATGGTCCAATTATAGGCCCTGCACCATTCACYGGTTGCTTGGGGACAATGATAAATTGTTCTGGTAATGGTTCAAGGGGGACGGGGAGGGTCACGATATTTTGCCCGTCTAATATCAGTAAAAAATTTCACTTCCCCACTATGGTTGGTCACCCTATTCCCAGTACCCAATTTTCAATTTCCACCCCCCCTCCCCCTGCTAATTTTTGCCCAAGACCTTATTCCGGTCTTTATTCCATTTATCTTGCACTATTAATTGAAATTACAGTTGTTCCGACGACTGTAAAAAAGTCGACTGCCTGACGTTTAGTTCAAAGTGCCGTGCTTGTGACTATACAAACTTGTCGAACAGTATTATTTCGGTCTTTATTGCATTTCCCTTGTTGCATTAATTGAAATTATGGTTGTTCCGACGATTTTTCACAAAAAAAATCGACTGCCTGACGTTTAGTTCTGGGACTAAACGTCAGGCAGTCAAAAAATCTTAAAATGCCGTGCTTGTGTTTGAAACTTGTCGAACAGTATTATTTCGGTCTTTATTGCATTCCCCTTGTTGTATTAACRACTGCCTGACGTTTAGTCCTGGGACTAAACGTCAGGCTGCCTGACGTTTAGACACTCCGTTTTAAATTTGTCTACCATTCGTTAATGGTCAAATTTTGTTTCACGGATTTAATGACCTTTAATGACTAATCTGCAGACAACTAGACGCTCACGGAGCGTGAAGTCGGGCTAGCTATTTTCGAAAAATATAGGAATATCGGAAGATAGAATAACATGCCTAGTTCGAAATCTCAATACATTTGTAGAAGTCAAGAAGTAGCATGAACGTGTTAAACAAAAACATAGTTATAGGGATAAGCTACCCAGTCATGAATTGAAAGAAAGAAAAGAAAAATGCGCACGCTTTTAGGAACGTTCTAGTGTCTGCGCACGGTCATAGGAAAAGGTGGGTTGCCTGTGTAATTGCGTCAATTATCGCTTGGTTATTATCGCAATTGTGGCATTTACGTAATTCTAGACGTTTTCTTCGATTTTGTAAGAGCGTGCGTCGATAGTATAGTACTAGCGCAAAAGCGTGCGCATTCTTGAAGAACTAATGGGTACGCTTTTACGCTTTATTGGCGCTATCTCTTAGCAAAGTGCGGTTTGTTTAATATCAGGTTCAACAATAGACATGTTCGTTTTATATGTAATTCACAGTTTGATTTTGGTGAAACAGATAAGGTACTGTAGTTCTGTTGAGCTTCGAGTAGTATGCTTACGAAACTTTCTAGAGTTAGCCAGTCTTGTGTGGGCAAAGATTTCACATTAGAACAAGAAGAAACTTTGTTTATTAACAGTTTTATAGGCATCTTTTACCTTGATAAGTATTGTTCTTGGCCTGGGAGGTCAACGTATTATGTATCATGATATCACTTAGCGACATGTTGTCTGACAAGTATGATTTTATCAGTC